GGTTTGCATTCTTGCTGCTGCTGAAGTCCGAGGCCTTGAAAAGTTATGTACGTTGGACCTGACAGACTGCACAGTCGACGTTGGACTGACGGGTTGCTGTACTGATTCATGTATGGCTACTGAAGGGTGTTGGCTTGGAGGTCGTGTATTTGGCCGTGAGGTATTATGCGAAGACACCCGACTCTCTGTTCCGTATGTGAGACGCCGGCCTTCACCCAATTCATCGCTTGAGACTCGTTGTCGACGGCGGCCCTCATTCGGCAACACGCCGCTGTCAGGGCGTATGCTACTCGCACGCCCTTCGGCTGAGTTTGCCAGGGTTGCTATATGTGGATGGGAAGGACGAGCGTCTCTCCTAGTCGCAGGACCAGACATGGAAGATGTCGATGTTGCTCTCGTGCGTGGGCTTGCTGGTCGACTAGCTTGTATCATCCCAAGATGGTAATCTGCTTCCCAACTGCCGTCTCTAGTCGAGGGTCTCCGGGACATAATTCTGTGCTCCTCCTCCATTGTCATTAAGGGCGTTCGAGGCCTCTGGAAAGGCTTGACCGGAAATCCACCATTGACAGGGGGCGATTGCATGCCGATTGCTGTCCATCTCCGCGAATCATGTCGTCCTTGCTGCTCAAACAAAGTTTGACTTCGTGACGAATACTCCCGGTGCAGGGGCATAGCTGGAAGGATGACTTCGCCTGGGCGTGCTGACGCATTTGTCGATATGTCGGATGCTGCGTGTCGTATATTGTTATAATCCTTCCAAGTAACCCAGTCGCTGATTGTTTCTGCTCCAATTGCCTTTGAGGTTGCGCCGTCTCTTGTCGGTGGCTTCCATGCAAAAGCGCTGTTTGTGGTGGAAGAATCTGGTGTGTAGACACCAGATTGGTTGCTGAAGACAGTGTTTAATGGAGTTGGCATTGACAAGCTCCTTGCATGACGACTAAGAAAATGCATCAGTATGACCCCATGTCACCAACTTTGAGAATAGAATACCCACAAGACTCTATGCTGCGCCTCATTGGGATTCCTCTTGGTTAAAGTCTTGCGCTTCCTCTTTGCTTGTCCTTCTGAATATTGACTGCGTTCAGAACGGGTTTCCCGTTTTTCTTGGAAGGAGATGGCTGTTTCAACGATGCTTGACTCTAGGTCGTCGTCCTCAGCACCAGGCAGTGTATCCTCTCCTCGGACGAACCAAGCTTGGGAGAATCCCAATGTCGCAAACGGACGGTCCGCCATTTCGATAACGGCGAGTACTCCACCCAAAGAGACACTTCAAAAATGTCAGCTCAGGCTGAAGGCGTTTGCAGAGGGTTTGATTGGTGGCTTACAGGGAAGCAATACTTATGATGACGTTGAGCCACGGAAGATTCTCTTGTACTCCTTTTGACACGTCTAGTCCAATATTCACCGCAACAAATATTGCGAAAGTGAATGCAGCAACCCAAACTGGAAGGCCCAGCCGTGCCAACAAAAAAGCAAATCCAGCAACATATTTCCCGTACGCTGTTGGAGAACCGCAATTCGTGGAATATGCAGTTCTTGCGGCAATAATATGCGCGAAGACATAAACAATACTCATGCAGGAGGCCACGAAGAAAACGGCTCTACTGAGAGGATCCAGAACCTCAGTCGACTCGAGGTTGCGGAATAAAACGATGGCAGACAAGGCGATACCTGCTCCAGCTGAGAGAAAGAGAAGGATTACCGAAAAAAGCGATAAGGTGGGATAGAGTCGAGCAGCTTTTCGTGGAGCAGTTTGCGGCGAGCACGTTGGCGGCGGCACTGCAGTCGTCGCGTCTTCATGATTCCGACTCATGAGAACTTCGTTCCATACACGCCACGAACGCGTAGTGATCGATGATACGCCGGGGTGGGAACAAGAAGATGCGAACCCGTCAGTGACCACTACCTATCATGGCCAACTAGTCGGCATCAATGAGTGCAAAACAAGGCAAAGCTGCCCAGTCCACGTCGATAGCATTGAAGTTTGTACGATGTGCCTTTCGATTGACAGAGTGGTTTGGCCATCGTCTGAGAAAGCAGGCGAGAGGGGTTTTGTTTGCACATGTTACATATGCTGCCTGTTACATTGTCTGGACGTATGCAGTCTGCATGACGTGTCGCTTCATTCGAATTCCAGAACTGCTGGCACATCCCGATGTTGCTGAAGTTACACCTCACGGCAATCTTACCGGCGCATGGATGTTGACTGAGTCTTTTTGTGTATGATCGGTCTCCATCTGATGTCTGGGCCGGCATGTGAAACAAACGCAGCGGCCGAAGCGGCCCAAACGGGGGCCAGAAAATCAGCAGCGCTTGGATCAAGATAGTTTCGGGATCTCGGATTGAATGCTTTAGCAAATTATTCGATTAAGGATTCTGCTTTCTCTCATCTCAATGGAAAAGTCCACCATCCGTCATGAGCTGTCAATGTTGGATGAACCTAGCGATTCTCTCACTGGCCATTCTTTGACCCATTCGAAGTCCCTTGGCACAAGGTTTGCCTCAATTGCCTTGGCAGAGGTCAATTCGTAATGGTCGAATGCCCATCATCTGTTGAGTTGCACGGCCGAAGAGGGGCTCCAGCAACCAAGTACTGAAAGTCAATACCCAGGTATTAAGAACTGATCTGACGTGTTTTCAAGACAGACCGACCGAGCCCGATCCTAGGAGTTGGACCGTAGCGGTTCTCCACTCGCCATGATGTCTGTTTCAGTAGCGATCCACGTGTGCTACACGAGCCGTGTGTTATGAGCGTGTCTCAGCTCGTTTCTAAGTCTCTGAGTGGGACTGCACGTAGAGTAGATTTATTGAGGCCCATCACTATGGTCTTGACGCCTAAGAAACGCGACGCATCTCATTGTCTCAAAGCCGCGTCATTCAAAATTTCAGACATTGTTGGTGTCTCTTCTGTTAAGATGTATTACTTGTGTTGGAGCAGCTGGTGCTGCCATCTGTGAATCAAATGTGGGGACTGATTATTTGAATGATCCGTCATGAAACTTCTATACGCCCATCACTTTTTCTTTTCCATGGTCGAACTCTTCCAACATAAAGCCTTGTTTAGTGCAAACTTACAGAAGATCCATCATTTCCACTAAAAAGTCATTCAATTGCGTTGGAGGAATTTGACTCTGTCAGTGATCTAGCCCATGGCGTTTCACCAATGCAAGCCGCCTAACCTCACTGGTATACAAAGCATGCGATGCCCTGACGCTGTTGGCTTAGGAAGTTTTCCGGCTCGAATGTTCGTTTGTAAGGATTGGTGAAGTAGCTTGGGCTCTCCGAGTTTGGCATCACGTTCTCCTCTCCGCGCCACGAACTCATCCTCGGTAATTCCATCCTTCGTGTGCTTATTGTGCTTTTTGTGATCGCTAACCGTCATCCAAGAGACAGAGTCAACACGACCTTCCGGAGGATAGTCATGACCTGTCCATATCTTGAAGTGGTCTGGTAGGCTCAGAAGCCTGCGGCATGAGTGGAAAAGGTTGCTGGCGCTCCCGCCGGGAAAGTCGCACCGTGCGGTACCAATGTCGACGTGGAAAAGAGAGTCGCCACAGAACACGTTATCTAGTACCGATGTCAGTGGATGTTAAACAGGAGAGTGGGTTATCGCCAAGGCTTTACCTCCAATCTTGTAGCCCAAGTGGTCAGGAGTGTGCCCAGGAAGGTGCCAGGCAGTAGCGCGTAGATTGCCGATGGAAAACGTCTCGTCGTCTTCGAACAGCTTGTCAAAGACACCTTGACATTCTTCGCTAGGCACACTGTATTTTTGACTAAAAAGATTTTGTACTTGAGTGATGCGCTTTCCGATGCTAATCGGGGGCATCTGGCCGTGCGTTTGAGCAAGACGATTTTGTAAGTACGACGCGGCCGTCAGGTGGTCAGCATGAGCATGGGTTTCTAGAATCCTAGAAATAGTGTAGCCTTTGGTTTTGATGAATGAAAGCAAGTCGTCGGCAGAGGATGTTGCTATAACTTGAGTTGTTCGATCGTAGTCCAGAACTGGATCAATGATGACTGCAACTTTTGTGCTTGGATCGGCAACGACATATTGCCATGTGCCTGTACTAGGCTCGAAAATATCGTGAATTATTGGCTGCAACAACCCGGCAACTGCTATGCTGCTATTAGAGGCGCACTTTCTCACCTGAGCCCAATGTTGAGATCTATTGGCCGAGTGGCTACCTCGGCGAACAAGCGTTTGCTTCTCAGTGTGGAAGAACCGTGCATTGCCAACAATACGTGTCGAGCTGCGATACGCTGATTCAGTCTCTAACGTATCGACGTGGAACCAGGTTCCACGACGTACGCGGCGCATTGAAGATATTGACAATGTCGTTGTGACATGCCGACTAGCCATTTGACAATTTCTTGCAATTGGTCTTGATGCGGTCATTGTGTTCATGAGTAGGAAGGTGATGGAGCAAATTCGGGGGTAGAAAGCCCACTTCGACATGAAATATTTAGAAGAGGACCGTGTGACGACCCAGGGATGTACCGGTGTCTCCGCAACACCAAGGCGAAAGTTGTAAATTAAAAAAAGAAAGAAAAAGAAAAAGAAAAAGAAAAAGAAAAGTTTAATGTCATAACGAAATCTAGTGTAGACATGGATTGAGATCCCCGCAGCCGTTCCTCGTTCCGGTTCTGGACTCGAGAATTCGGCGACCATCATCGGCGACCAAGCCCACTGAGTAGCTGACCACTCAGTCTGTCAATGTTATCATAATCAGACATCACGCCACGTCCTCCAGATGATTAAGTTTTCCCAAGGACGGCTGTCGGTGGGGTCGTCGGAGCGGCTAGTGGCCTCTTGAATTCTTACTCGCCTATTGGGCTGGTTGTGGGACCGGCTCCACATGCTTCAGCCAGACTTCGGTGTTTTCATTTCTCCAGCTCGCAACGCCCGTCTCTTTTTAGCGGCCACACGAGACTCAGCCGCATCACGAGAAACCTTAAGCTATCGCATCGCATTTGTCACCAACATCTTTTTTGGCACCAAGATGATCCCCACCCGCGTAACATTGGCAACTCGCCATGCAAAGCGTGCCGGCATTGTTGCGCAGACCTCTTCCAAGCTCCGGACTCTTGCGACGGTGGCTCCCGTGACCTCCGTAGCTCGGAACCACAAGGTCGTCGTCGTTGGTGGCGGCAGTGCTGGCCTGGCCATTAGCCATCAGCTGCTCCGGACTGGTCACTTTGCCCAGGACGACATCGCCATCGTCGACCCTGCGAAATGGCACCACTACCAGCCCGGATGGACCCTGGTAGGCGGCGGACTCAAGTCTAAGCAAGAATTGCGAAGACCGATGGATAGCTTGATCGACCCGAAGCTTAAGTTTTATCAACAAGCCGTTAGCACCTTTTCCCCGAAAGAGAACAGCATCAAGTTGGGAAGTGGCGATGAGCTCGCATACGAACAGCTTGTCGTCGCCCCAGGCATCAATATTGACTACGGTAGCATCAAGGGATTGCCCGAAGCATTGGGGGATCCGAACTCGCTCGTTTCTTCCATCTACGGCTACGACACATGCGACAAAGTATTTGGTACTTTCGAGAAGCTCCAGAAGGGAAATGCCATCTTCACCCAGCCAGCCGGCGCAATCAAGTGTGCTGGCGCACCTCAAAAGGTTATGTGGCTTGCACTGGATTACTGGAAGCGTTTGGGTCTGTACAACCCCGGCAACACTGCTGCCTCACCGATCAAGATCAGTTTTGCTACTGGAATCCCGGCCATGTTCGGCGTACCCAAGTATAGCGCTAAGCTTGAGGAGTTGAGGAAGGAGAGGGCGTCGAGGGACTTTTCCAGCACGATCTCGTCGCTGTTGAGGGCAACACTGCGACCTTCTCACGTCCCGACGGGAAGGACAAAGTGACAAAGCAGTTTGATCTTTTGCACGTTGTTCCTAAGATGGGGCCTCATGCATTTGTCAAGAACAGCCCACTCGCTGACGCAGCTGGTTTTGTTGATGTCGATCAAGCCACAACGCGCCACACCATGTACCACAACGTCTGGTCATCAGGTGATGCGTCCAGTTTACCCACCTCAAAGACTGCCGCAGCAATCACATCGCAGGCTCCAATCTTGGTCAACAATCTGTTGCGGTCGCTGGATGGAAAGGAACCTGAACCAAAATACGATGGCTACACCTCATGCCCGCTCACAACCGAGTATGGCAAGGTCTTGCTTGCAGAATTCAAGTATGGTGGAGTTCCCAAGGAAACTTTTGGAGATTTGATCGGGTTCGATCAGGCAGTTCCCCGTCGTGCGTTCTATCATTTGAAAAGGGACTTCTTCCCGTGGGTATACTACAACTCCATGGTGAAGGGTACTTGGGGTGGCCCTAATGGCTGGATGAACTAGACCGATGCCAGGCATGTATACTGTGTATCAGCTGTGTAGGATCATACTTGAAAAAGCCTTCCATTTTTCACAATCATGACAAGCCTTGCAAGACTTCCAATCGGGCTGTCAATCTACACATATCAACTCTTTTTTTTGGGCTCCAAATAGCAGTTGGAGCTCTATGTTTCATACCGAATGCTTCTTTGCCCCGTTAGGCCGCTTACAGTTCTTGTCTGTCGCCCTACAATGTTCAAGTGAGCTTCCGGAATAGAACGACCATTTGGATTATTCGACTTTTTACCCAAGTTGCAACGGAGTTGAGTTCGTGCAACCCTGGTCTCTGGCTGGTTTGGCTACCAGCTAGACGAATCCCTTTACCCACTCTAGAGCGGCGATAGAAAAAACACCAGTATCTCTGAGGCATTCTGACGAATGCCAATGTTGGAGTAGTACTGTATGGCGTGTTGGTAATTATCTTCATGTCAACAGGATGCGGTAGCACGAGATTTTACTTCAAAAGTAGCATTGCTGCGCAGACTGCCCACTTCAACAGTGCTTTCCCAGTTTATCGAGCCATCGTCGTTGTGTGTGACAAACATGTATATCATACCGTTCCCTACTCTCTTGGCCACTTCTGTGTAAACCCTCTCAACCAGCAACCCCATGTTCAGCCCCTTCAACCAACCAAAGGTGAGCTCGATGCTTGTGCTGCTCTTGATGTAGTTGCTCTAGATATCTTTGTATTGCTTCTCCATGACATTCCACCAGCCACCTGTTTCGTCTTGGGCGTCTTCAAGGCCCTTGGCCAGCATTGCGAAGTAATCCAACAATTCCTCACGATTCATGTCCTGATAGCCCTTTTGAGAGCAAATCGATTACCTCGAGTAGAGCCATGAAGTAACAGCCCACAGCACGGCCCTATACCAGCGGCACAGCGCCTGTCTGTGGATCAGCCCAAGTAGCCTTTTTGCTTTTATCGTATGCATTTACCAACATGCTGACTTCGCGTCGGGTCCGGGAATCAATGATGTCAAATTTCAGCACGATATCGTCCTATGCTGTCTATTACTGGGGCTGAAATAGCGATACGTTTTTTGGCTCAAATGTGTCCGCCATGTAAATGCCGGCGAGCCAAATCTGGATTGGGTAGACGACCTCGCGATGCCAGAACCCACCCGTCGGCGTGCAAGTGTGGTTGTCAAGTGTCGCTTTAAGGTTGGCGCCAGCTTTGCGGTATCGTTCTTCGCCTGTCTGTTCATTCCAATACAGGATGTTGTTGCCGAAACGACAAGGGTTTAGGCTGTATCGTAAATGGTTAAACCGTCGATGTTGCCCTTAGGAACTACCATGGCGTTGGTCTGGGCGCGGTAATAGTCGAGTGTCATGTTGCTCATGAACTAATGAAAAGCCTTGAAAGACGTGTACAGTGTTGCTAGATCGTAATGAAGACTTGGCTGGACACCGCGACGGAGCATTTTTTCAGTCATCAGGTCGGAAAGACAATTTGACTACACGTAGAGATAGATGGGGAGCACAGCCCGGTCAGCCACGCCCGGCAAGGTGAGGTCAGCCCCTCAGCCACAACGAGCGGCGTATCCCACTTCACCTTGCTGCTGGCCGCGCAGTTAGATCTCCCTTCTTCATACCCATACAATAGAACCAGCAATATCACCACTCTGACGTGATCGTTGCTATCAACTCGTACGAGTATCTCACCGCCTGTGAGATCAACACTTACTTATAAAATGGTGTGAGATAAAGCTAGCGTAGATTGGTCTCTTGAATATGTCCTGTTTTGGCAATGAACTTCATAGGACTGAAAGGTAGTGGTTACAAGACTTTCGCGGCTGTTCGCCGCAAGATCCGCCGGACCAGGCCGGCTATGCTTATAATGTCGTATCGGGAATCTGTCCTGTACCCTTATGAGGCACAAGCACCTTGGATATTGTGAGAATATTCACTAGGAAAGCTACTAGCTATCTTACCCAATCTTTCTTTAGTCCTTAGAACTTTCCGACGGCTTTGTTTAGTCACTACATGTCGTCATTCCCATCATACGACCTCATACTGGTTAAGTTCAATACTTGTCAGACAATTCGCTGATTATTGAGGTATTGTCAGGAGTATGGAAATACATGAACTCGTGCTTACATGGGGACAAAAATAGCGGTTAAGTTTGTTTTCGCGAATATCTCGTTCCGATTCTTCTCTGATTGCTTTTGATGTCCAACTGTTCACGTCTATATTACGTTATAGGTACATGTCTCAAGGCGTCTGATCCACAACGCTTGTGTTAGGCTGACTTGTTAACGGCAACGAAATGAATCTGTGTAAGCCCTTTGGATTCAACTGGTCGCCGGTGAAGACCATGATGTCATTCAGCCTTCTAGCCGACTCTGCTTCCTGAGTTGCGTGTACTGAAGCCCCAATTCCAACTTTTCTCATGAATCTTGGGACTAGCTCACGCCATACTTGACGGGTGGACGGCAGACAGGAGACAATGACGGCGACAGAGAGTTCGAATGTAAGACCACATATGTAGGTAAAACACGTCGTCTTAAGAACTTTCAGCGAAACCTATCACTAGCATATTTCATGGTGTTCATGTTCCTTAGATAGGAACAGTGTGAAAGACTACTTACGAGTAGGATTCGAAAAATTGCGGAATTTGAATAAAACGCTGAGGCGGATCGCGCTAACGATAGTGATACTGTGTCAAGGGGTGTCAGATTCATTATCACGACAGTAGCCATTCGTCAGGAGTCCCGCCCATATAGTGATAAAACGGTCTCTTTCTCGCAACATGATAGGCAGTACTCACAAAACTCCAAGTCCAAACATGGACAAAACTTCTATCTTTTGTCTCTTTCTCATGTTCAACCATAAGATCTGTGTCATTGGCAGCGCAAGCATCCATACATTCATGGCGACATTCAAAGCCGCATGCGATACTAGCAAGGCGTGCAAATTGACACAGCGCCTGGATGTCGTCCATCCCAGCCTTCCCATGAGTAACTAAAAGGCTTGCACTGAGTCAATTTAGCCGCTGTGAATGCGACACAGTTAACGAGGTTTGAGGCTTGTGTGCACCAGAGCACTGTCGTGAAAGTCGGGTTTATTAGTTTAAAGACACGGAGTAGAAAAAGAGTATGGATGATTTAAGAGCGCCGATGCTTATGGTGTAGAGTACTTCAAAGACAAAGAAGACCTGATGTTGTTAGCTTGGCTGCGTGGTTAGGTGTCGTTGATGATATATATGTACGGAAAGAAAGCAAAGGGTCCTACTTTCATAAACAAATCGACCTCGTCATGAGATAACGACCAAACGTCTCTTCCAATACCTAAGCGATATCCTAAGTTTCATAGGTTAGTATAGTCTCTGAAATTGTGTTGTAAGGAGAAAATTACCATAAAAACATGGATACCGCAAAATGATAGCGAGAAGATCTTATAGGACAAGTCAGTGACGTGCCTACGTGTAATCTTACTACTCATTCTTCACTCACATAACCGAGTATCAGCATGTAGTCATCCGCTCCCCAAGCTGATAGTCTTAATACTTTGGCGAGCTGCCGCAGAAAAAACATCAAAGCCGTAGTAATGACTAGCGCCACCTTTTCCAACTTGGACCCTGTCTGGTTCTGGTAGTGGAAATCGCACCATGTCCAAGTAACATTCTTAGCAACTAATAAAGCTTCGTGTGAGTCTCAAATGCCAGAAGATATACAGAAGGCATAGTAAATCAATTTCATAACCAGAAAAGGAAAAATTAAGTATGTCTTACTTAGAACATTTCCCATGTCACAAGAAGCCCGCACACATAGTCGATACGTCTCGATAAAGCTACTGTCCTTACATAAACACCCGAGGTCAGATTCGTTGCGGCACATGTTGCAAAATCGAGCGCCTGGGTTGAGCATGTGCCTTGAGCAGAGATGGTGCGTCAGTAACGAAAACAGTGGATGGTATGGAACGAAAAGGACAGTCTACTCACAGCGCATACAGGGAGGCCTCCCGTTAACTCAGGAAGCAATAACGCCATGGAGACGAAGTTTGTCGGAAGCAAGTCGAAATGATATCGGAAATCAAGAAAAAATCATCATTACAAGTCTCTAGAGTCCCAGAGTGGTTTGGAACTAGCAGGCTGTCGAGTGTCGGAGGAAGCTCCAAGTGGGAGAAATTGTTGTGGTGAAGATGTTGGAGAAAGCAGTGGTTTTGTCTCGTTGTCAGGTGTACGTAATAGCTGTCCTCCAGGACCCTATGGACAAGAGGCTTTTGCGTGTGTAAGATTGGTCATGTTTTACCTTTGACTGCATCTAACCTAAACCGTCAAGCATGTGGCTGTACTGTTTTCGTCTGCTGAGCCCAACAAACCGCCATCGTCATTGGAATTTAAGATAAGCCATCAGGACTCGAGAATTTCAGTAATTCCCAGCTTTTCTTATTTGATAAACATGTCTTCCAATGGCAAAGACAATGTCACATCAAAATATAAAGCTATATGGCCTTGTTTTTGTTCGACATGAGACCTGCGTGCACTAACAAACGACACAACGACGCCTACTGGTTCAACTTTTTATATTCAAACAGGGAACAGCGCTTTTGATGAAATTGGCTAGACATCGAGTTCCTTAGTAAACTCGGTACGATTGTCATCCCAATAGCAAGGAACGGACCAAACAGATTAGCTTTTTACTTCAAATCATTCAGAAAGGACTGAAAGATCAAGTTAATGTACCCGCTGCAAGTAATACAAAACGTGTCAATTGACAAGTCAGTTCTCGGACAGGGGTTGCTACAAACGCAAGGAAATTGCGACAAAGGACAGAACACGCAAGCAGCGAGAAGTTTTTGATGTACATTGGTCCGTATCCCACGGGATCGCTGAAAGTGGACTAGCCGCCATCAGAGATCTCTGCAAACGGTGCAAAACAAATATCCTTCTCTGAGATACAGCAGCATTTAATCATGTGTTGTACCTAGTATGCCCAGAAGACATTGGGATCTCAAAAGATTGT